TAAATGTTAAATGAATTCTGGCTGTCTTAAGGAAATCCATTTGAGTGAGAGGTTGTAGTAGAAGAGACATTTTAGCCCTATGCAGATGGAAATCTGAGCAGGTTCCTTTATTTCTGTATGAAAGTTCTGACAGGGAGGCTGGGGGAGAGTCTCTTAGGAAATGGTAGGTTTCTTATTTCCTACCACAGCAACAGAGGGTAGAAAGGTAGTATTTGTCTGGTGAGACTGTTAGATAGGAAATTCAACTAGTACTTAAAGAAAATGTGTGCTTAAAGTACCTTCTAACTCAAGAAGTTGTTGCTTTTAGGGTGAGGAACTGGGTAACTAGAAGACAGAAAAGTAAGAGACTTTTCCTATAGACAACTGTTCGTACCTTTTCAACTTTAAAATGTGTGAATGCATTTTTATTTTATTACTATTTTTTAGTTTGGAGGGATTGTTTTTTGTATTTGTTTTGTGAGACAGGGTTTCTTTTTGTTTGTTTGTTTTTGTTTTGTTTTGTTTGAGACAGGTCTTACTATGTAGCCCTGGCTGGCCTGGAACTCACTATATAGACCAGTCTGGCCTTGAACTCACAAAGATATACCTGCCTCTGCCTCCCAAGTGCTAGTATTAAAGGTGTGGGTAACCACACCTGGCAAGATAGGGTTTCTGTAGCTCAGGCTGGTATCCAATCTCTATGTATCCTAGTATATCCTTGAACTCCTGATTCTCTTGCCAAGTGTTAGAATTATAGGCATGTGCTACGATGCCTGGCTTGTTTTTTTTTTATTTTTTTATTTTTTTTGGTCTTTTTGAGCCAGGGTCTCCCTGAAGCCCCAGCTAGCCTGGAACTCACTATATAGACCAGGCTGGCCTTGAACTCATAGAGATCTGCCTGCCTCTACCTCCTAAGTGCTGGGATTAAAGGCGTGCGCCACCACATCTGGCTTAATTCTTTAATTTTATGTGCATGCGTGTATTGCCTGCATGTAGGTAAGTGCACCCATGTCGTGCAATGCCCGTGGAGGTCAGAAGAGGCTGTCGGATCCCCTGGGAGTGGAGTTACAGACAGTTGTTAGCTGCCATGTGGGTGCTGGGATTTGAACCCGGGTCTTCTGCAAGAACAACCAGTGTTCTTAACCGCTGAGCCATCTCTCCAGCCCTGTATTATTTATTTTTAAAAGACATTAAAATAGCACAGGCTGGCACAATAGCTCAGCAAATAAAACTGATTGCTGAGGAAGGCCTGATGTCTTGTTCAGTCCTGAGAACCTCTTCATAATGGTAGAGAGATCTGACTCATGAAAGTTGTCCTCTGACCTCCACATGTGTGCCTTAGTGTGTGTCCCTGCACCTCCCCACACTAGTCAATAGAAATGTTTTAAAAATATATTAAAACATCAGTAAAAATAAGCTATGTTTTATTTCAACTTACATAGTCCCAAATTTACATTGGCTCAACTTAGAATTTCTGAACTTTATGATGATTAAGTGTGGAGTGATAAGAATTCAGTAGAAATTATACTTCAGATTTTGAATTTTGACTTTTTCCTGGACTGGCAATATGTAAGAACAAACTCTTTTAGTATCTGAGGCAAATGAGCCAGCCCCTGCTTGCCATGAGATCAAGTTAGTAAACTACCAACATTCTACAACACACTGTGTTTCTAAGCCAGGATGTTGGTAAGTGAGGTATATCAAATGCATTTTATTTTTCATGGTTGTTTTTCTTTTGAGACACCATCTCACTATGTAGCACAGCTAGCCTGGAATACAATGTAGAGACCAGAGGGGCCTGCACTTATAGCAGTCCTCCTGCCTGCCTTCTGATTGTTGTGATTATAGGCATTTACCACCACGAGGAGCACTTTCAATTTGTGATATTTTTAACTTACAATGAGATCCTAGGGATTTACTCTCATTCTAATTTGAGGAGTGTCTGTATTTGGATATGTTTTAAATCAGCATTTTCATACTTTTGAGAGTTGAATGTAAAAAGAAATGAAACAATAGAAGCACTTGTTACCTGACTTGTTCTTTCAGTGCATGGTGATTCTATACAGGGAATGTATGGAGTGATAATAAAACAAAGTCCCTACCCTCAGAGAGCTTGTGTTCTAGTGGGGGAAGCAGATGATGTACAAATCAGTAATAAAAATAAGACATAATAATACAGATGATAAAATTATAACTATCATTTTCCTACATTATAAGAAATAAATTTATAAAAGAAAAAAAGGAAAAAGTAAATTTATGATCTTAAGTGTTTTCATTACTAGGGGTAAATTAGTAATGATACAACTCAAATTTGTAAAATACTTTTTGAGAAAAGTAAGTTCAGATTCTAGTAGTGGCAGAGCAGCTTATATGAGATTAATTATCCCATAAGTACTTCTTATAAACTGTGAAAAAATATTTTTTTAATATTATTTTTATGTGTATGTGTATATTGCCTGCATATAGGTGAGTGCACCCGTATCATGGAATGCCCTCGGAGGTCAGAAGAGGCTGTCGGATCCCCTGGGACTGGAGTTACAGACAGTTGTTAGCCGCCATGTGGGTTCTGGGATTCGAACCTGGGTCTTCTGCAAGAACAACCAGTGTTCTTAATTGCTGAGCCATCTCTCCAGCCCTGAAAAAATACTTTAAAAAATATTTGAGCTGGATGTAGTGGTGCAGGTGTATAAGTACACCTACTCTCAAGGCTTCGGTGGGAGGACTGCACATTGAGGCCTGCTTGGACATCTTAGTGAGACCATGTCTCAAATTAAAAATAAAGCCAGGGCTGAGGATATAGCTGAGTGCTTACTTTGCAAATCCCTAGTCTGTCTTTCGCTCTCTCTCTCTCTCTCTCTCTCTCTCTCTCTCTCTCTCTCTCTCTCACACACACACACACACACACACACAGGTGGGGGGAACGTAAGTTAACATATTTCAGATACTTGCACATCCCTATGCAGGTATTATGGCACTGCTTACAAAGCCAAATTATAGAACCAGTCTGGGTGTTGACCATGGATAAAGGAAATGTGGTACATATACACAATGGAATTTTATTTAGCCATGAAGAATGAATTCATAATGATTTTTTTTCAGGGGGCGGTCTTTTTGAGACAGGGTCTCCCTGTAGCTCCAGCTGGCCTGGAACTCGAATATGTAGAACAGCCTGGCCTTGAACTCACAGAGATCTGCCTGCCTCTGCCTCCTGAGAGCTGGGATTAAAGGTGTGAGCCACCACACCTGGCATAAGAATGGGTTAAAAAAAATTTTTTTAAAGACTGGTCCGTGGTGCATATGCAGGTCGGTTCATCAGTTGTCCATCGGAGCGTGCTCGGGCAACTTGTGCCCCATAGTCGCCTGTTACCAATCAGACTAAAGTTCCAGTGGTGACTCACAAACTAAGTTAAAAATGTCCCCAGAAGTGGCTCTGAACCGAATTTCCCCAATGCTCTCTAGCGTGGTCCGAAATGGAAAGGTGGCACTGGATGCTACAAATTGTTTGAGAATAACAGACTTGAAGTCTGGCTGCACATCATTGACTCCTGGACCTAACTGCAACCATTTCAAACTTCACATATGCTGGAGAGACATTAAAATGGGATATCATTTTCAATGCTCAATACCCAGAGCTGCCCGCTGATTTTATCTTTGGAGAGGATGCTGAATTTATGCTAGACCCCTCGGCTCTGCATAACCTTGCCTCCTGGAACTCTTCAAACCCCAAGTGCCTCTTGCTTGTGGTGAGGGAACTTGTGCAGCAGTACCACCAGTTTCAATGCAGCCTCCTCAGTGAGAGCCGGCGCCTCATGTACCAGATGATCCTGGAAGAGCCCCAGTATGGGAGAACATGGAAATTTATGCTAGGAAGAAAAACAACTGGATTGGTGAATTTTCCTATTGAAATTACCAGTAGATTTCATCAATATTCCCACACACCTTCTCAAGGATGTAAATGAAGACCCTGGAGAGGAGAAGATGTAGCCCTCCTTTCTGTCAGTGTTGAGGATACTGAAGCCACCCAGGTGTATCCCAAGCGGTACTTGTCACCTTGAATTGAGTGTGCACTTGGAGGCTCCTCAGCTCTTCATATCCCTGCTTTTCCAGGAGGAGGATGTCTCATTGTGTTCCTCAAGTGTGCCACCTGCTCACCAACAAGGTCCAGTATGTGATTCAAGGATATCACAAAAGAGAGTACATTGCTGCTTTCCTCAGCCACTTTGGCACAGGTGTTGTGGAATATGATGCCAAAGGCTTCACCCGAAGCTCACTTTGCTGCTAATGTTGAAAGATTTTTGTTTTCTTATACACCTTGGCCTGCCCATTTTTTCCTCAAGATCAGCCAAATGCTCTCACGTTTCAATCCATCTATAACTTCACCAACAGTGGACAAATTTACTCCCAGGCTCAAAAAAATTACCCATACAGCCCCAGATGGGGTGGAAATAAAATGGCCAAGAGAGCAAAGGCTTATTTCAAAACCTTTGTCCCTCAGTTCCAGGAGGCTGAATTTGCCAATGGAAAGCTCTAGGAAACATCAGTGTTGAAAGGCAGCCAGCCAGACCTCTCGGTCCACATGTGTGTCAGCACACAGGCCGCTTCTTGGAAGCCACTTGAAATGTCTGCATGGCTGCATTTTGCTCACACAGCAGCTCTGTGTACCCCAGACAGCCCTGCTGGCTGGTGGTACCCTGAATCCTTGCACCCCTTAACTGCTTGTTGCTCCCTTTCCTCATTAAATTTCTTAGCTGGAAGAAATAAACTTACAAAAACAAAATTTTTTTTAATATTATTTTTATTTTATGTGTATGAGTGTATTACCTGCATATAGGTAAGTGCACCCGTGCCGTGCAATGCCTACGGAGGTCAGAAGAGTGATATGACATCTGTAGAAAAATGGATGGAACTACAGAGCATTGTGTTAAGCAAAATAAGCCAGACTCAGAAAGACAGACTGCCTGTTTTCTCATATGTGGAATATAAATTTGAATATATATATATATATATGTATGTATATATGTTATATACATAGACATGGAAGTAGACAGTGGACTGAGGGGAGGAAGACATCTAAAAGGAGGGAGGAGCAGGAGCGGGAAGAGGCTATGTGACATGAAAGCAGAAGAGGAGATTAGCTGGGAGAAACAAGGGGGCAAGCAAGGGGGTGGGGAAGAGAGGCATGGGAGGGTAAGAACAAAGTGCAACGATATATGGGTACAAAAAGTCTACTTTTTGTATGCTAACAAAAAAAATGAACAAAATATTTTTTAAAACAAATGTTATAGGGCCTGGACATGGTGGTGCATGTATTTTGATTCCAGTACTCATGAGGCAGAGGCAGGTGGATCTCTGAGTCTGAGGCCAGTCAGGGCTAGTTAGTGAGACCCTGTCTCAAAAAGAAACCTATAATATCAGGTATCCTGGTTCCCTGCTTTTTGTTTGCTGCTTTTGTTTCTGGTTTTAAATTTTTAAAGAAATTTTATGTGTGTAAGTGTTTTTCCTACATGTATGTAAGTGCATCCGTGCCATTCAATGCTTGTGGAGGTCAGAAGAGGATGTCACATCCCCTGGAATTGGAGTTATGGACAGTTGTTAGTCTCCATGTGGGAGCTGGGAACCAAATCCGAGTCCTCTGCAAAAGCAGCCAATGCTCTTAACTGCTGAGCCATCTCTCCAACCCTCTGGTTTTGGTTTTTGGAAGAAAGAAATAAGCTTTGTTTTAGTAACTCTGTCCTGTTAAAGTATCTATTTCTACTTTCAAAAATTGATGAGTGACAAAAAGAAAAAAAGGCTGATCATTTTTAAAAGCTGGATTTCTTCCTAAGCACAAAATTTCTCCCTCAGATATTTTTCCTTCCTGGTACTGACTAGGATGGGCACAGCTGACCCTTCCAAGGAACATGTATGCTTTATCTTGATCCTAGGTGACAGCTACTGGGTATTATGTAATAAAGTGAGTCAGTGCAAGTCCATATGCTCCTTATTTGTACTTTACACTTTAATTTCATTACTTTGTTTTAACAAGCAAAAATTGAAACAAATGTTTCCCTTCAGGGGTAGCTTAGCCAATGTTGCTTTTCCTATGTAAGAACATGGTGTCATGTCCTTATTTCTTCTGCTTTAGAAACACATACCGCATGATTGAACAAGATGATTTTGACATCAACACCAGGCTACACACGATCGTGAGAGGAGAAGATGAAGCAGCTATGGTAGAGTCAGTAGGCCTGGCTCTAGTGAAGCTACCAGATGTCCTTAATCGCCTGAAGCCTGATATCATGATTGTTCATGGAGACCGGTTTGATGCTCTTGCTCTGGCTACATCTGCTGCCTTGATGAACATCCGAATCCTTCACATTGAAGGAGGGGAAGTCAGTGGGACTATCGATGACTCTATCAGACATGCCATAACAAAGCTAGCTCATTATCATGTGTGCTGTACCAGAAGTGCAGAACAACATCTGATATCCATGTGTGAGGACCATGATCGAATCCTTTTGGCAGGCTGTCCTTCCTATGACAAACTTCTCTCAGCCAAGAATAAAGACTATATGAGTATCATTCGGATGTGGCTAGGTACGTATGTCAGATTTTATTCAGGCTAATGGCTGTTTTTGTCGAAAGTACTGGGTGTATTTCAATCTTTGTGGAAACTCAGGGAATAGTCCATTAGAGACCAGAGTGCTAAGATTTAGTTCATAGATCTTGCCCTTTGGTATAGCTTTATCTCTGAGGTTCACTATAAAATAAGCTTACTGAATTGACTAAAAAAAAAAAAAAATCTGTACTATATTTATACAATGGAATGCTTTTACTTCATTAAATATGTTAGTGAATATTAGTTACAAGGACAGTTCTTTATCAATTTTTGTATATGTGCTGCTGAAGTAAGCAAAATTATTTAATTTTGGGGGGGCTAGAGAGATGGCTCAGGGTTTAAGAACACTGGTTGTTCTTACAGAAGACCTAGGTTCGAATCCCAGCACCCACATGGCAGCTAACAACTGTCTGTAAATCCAGTCCCAGGGGATCTTACAGCCTCTTCTGACATCCACGGGCATTGCACGACACAGGTGAACTTACCTGCATGCAAGCAATAGATGCATACATGTAAAATAAAAATAACAAAACCAGGCATGGTGGTGCACGCCTTTAATCCCAGCACTCGGGAGGCAGAGGCAGGCGGATCTCTGGGAGTTCGAGGCCAGCCTGGTCTCCATAGCGAATCCAGGCCAGCTAGGACTAGAGGGAGATCGTATCTCAAAAAGACCAATAAATAAACAAACAAACAAACAAACAAATAAATAAATAAATAAAAATTTTTAAAAATTTTAGTTTTGGACCAGACAACATGCCTTTAATCCCAGCACTTGGGAAGCAGCAACAGGTGGATCTCTCTGAGATCGAGGCCAATCTGGTCTGGTCTCTATAGTAAATTTCAGGCCAGCTGAGGCTACAGGGAGACCCTGTCTCAAACAAAACAAAAAGTTAATTTTATTATTATTGTGTGTGCATGTGTACATGACATGCATGTGGAGGTCAGAAGACCACCCTTGGGAGTCAGTTATCTCCTTCCACTGAGTGATCTAGGAGTTGAAGTCAGGTAGACAGGCTTGCTTGACAAGCACTTTTACCTGCTGAGCTTTACTTTTTTTAAAAAAATTTTTTTTAGTATTATTTTTATGTGTATTCATGTATTGCGTACGTGTAGGTAAGTACACCCATGTCGTGCAATGCCTGCTGAGGACAGAAGAAGCTGTTGGATCCCCTGGAACTGGAGTTATGGACAGTTGTTAACTGCCATATGGGTGCTGGGATTCGAACCCGGGTCTTCTGTAAGAGCAGTGTTCTTAACCACTGAGCCATCTCTCCAGCGTGCCCCCCCTCCTTTTTTTTTTTGAGACAGGTTCTCATGTAGTCTGGCCTTGAACTGGCTGTGTAGCTAAAGATAACCTTGAATTTTGCTCTTTACTTCTACCTCTTAAGTGCTGGGATTGTAGGCCTGCACTACCATGTCTATCAGTGAGAACAATTCTTTCTTTATCAAAAGGTGGGGAAAGGGATGGGGAGATGGCTCAATGAATAAAATGTCTGGCATATAAGCAAGAGGATCATCCAAGAACCCGCATACAAAAGCCAGGTGCACGTGTGTACTTGTCCTAGCACTTGGGAAGTGGAAACAGAAGGATCTCTGGGCTTGTTGGCCCGCCAGTCTAGCTGAACTGGTGAACTCCTGTGAGAGAGACTGTCTCAAAAGATAAGGTGGAGAGGAATTGAAGAAGTTGGCCAGTGTTGACCTCTGGCCTCCACAGGTGGAGCTCTGTGAGTTCAAGACCAGCCTGGTCTACATAGTGAGTTCTAGGCCAGCTGGGGCTACAGGGAGACCCTGACTCAAAAAGACCAAAATAAGCAAAACAAAAAACTACAAAACAATTAAAGCATAAGTGGTAGTTATATTAGATTTTGTTGTCTTTATTTTAAAAATTTTTTAATTATTTTTATTTTATGTGTATGAGTGTATTGCCTGAATGTGTGTAAGTGCACCTATGTTGTACAATGCCTGCAGAGGTCAGAAGAAGGCATCAGATTTCCTGGAACTGGATTTATGAATGGTTGTTACCTGCCATGTGGGTGCTGGAAATCAACCTGGGTCCTCGAAAGGGCAGTCAGTGCTCTTAACTGCTGAGCCATCTCTTCAGCCCCTACATTTTGTTATCTTTATAAATAAGCCTTAAAGTCTGAAATTTTCAGTGATCAGTGGTTTAGCCTCCTAGAAATTACCTTTTACTAGCAGAGAAAAATAAAACAAGTTTACAGCAGAATATGAATAAACTAACTTGTGTTGTGAGGTACTTTACCAGAGAAGACCACTCAGACAGAGTTTTGCCAAATGAAAGTTATTGCTGGCCAGCAACTATACAAGTGTGTCAGAACCCAAGTGTGTAGCCCTAAGCTGTCTCTAGGGTAAGCTTTATACAGAAACCATAACCGGGATAAAAAGTTTAAGTTCCCAAGCTTACAGGTGCAAAGCCCCCTAACAATTTTTATTCAATTAAGCAACAATTACTATTTTGCAGAAGCAAGTCAAGCATAACCTATAGAAGCCATAAATCTGCAGTTAGCAGGTACACTCCAGGTCACACCGATCTGCTCCCAAGACAACCTGGGTCCTGCTGACTTGTGTTTCCATACCCTGGGCCACCTGCCTGATTATCTCAGAAGCTAGAGTCAGCTTAAACTTTCTTTTTACGCTGTTTCCTACATTTTTAAAAAATATTATTTTTTTAGAAGAAGCATATAATTACAGCTTTAATATGCTCAATAACAGTTTCCAGAGCAAAGATACAGCTCTTTCAAAAGTGGCTGTAAAATTTTTAGGTTCACTGTTGAATTAACAACAGTTATACAATAGTGAACTCAGTATAGGCCCTGTAAGACATAAAATTGAATGAGTTTTTGGCAAAGCTATGGTCAATAAGGTGCCATGTCACACTTGTAGTGAAAATACTATGTGGGGGAGAATCAGAACTAATTACCTGTTTAGTACCTTCCTTCTATAGAAGGCAGATTAATGAATGGAAAATTGGTGATTGTGTAATCAAAGCAATTAGCTATATTTTAATTGTTTATATTGTTGTTTTACTTATTCATTGTGTGAGTTGGGGCGGATATGGTATATGTGCTCCAGGGAGCACTGGAGATTAGAAAACAACTTGCAAGAGTTGGTTCTCCTTCCACCATGTGGATCCTTGGGATCAAATTCAGGTGGTTGGGTTCAGTGGCAAGTGCCTTTACCCACTGAGCTGTCTTATTGGCCTCAGATTGGCAATATTCTTAATTTAGACATATTACAACAGAAAAGGAATTGGGCTTTCCCACCAGATAAGTTAATCCATTCTATGTATTTCTTATCCTTGGATAGATTTGTAGTCATTAAGGCACCTGTCTGAATAATGCTGGTAGGATGAACTTGGGTCTCTTCATTTCTCCTTTTTGTATGCTTCTAAGTAAAGCCATACATTCTATTCTGATCATTCCATTAGCTTTCCCTATACTGTGGAAAATCTGTGTTACTGAAAAACTCCAATGAATAAAAATAATCATTAGAAAGCAGAGTTCAGCCCAGCGTGGTGGCACATGCATTTAATCCCAACACTGAGAGGCAGAGGGAGGCCAATCTCTGTGAAATCCAGGCCAGCCTGGTCTACAAAGTGAGTTCCAGGCCAGCTAGGGCTACATAGTGAGATCCTGGCTCAAATAAATAAATAAACCAAAAGCAGAGTACAGGGTCAGTGAGATAGCGCAGTTGGTAATGATGCTTGCCAGCAATGCAAGCCTAATGATTTGCGTTCAATCCCCAGAACTCCTGTAATGGTGGAAGGAGAGAACTCCACAAAGTTACCCTCTGATTTCCACATCAGCAGTGGCATGTGTACCACCCCCATTGTGCACACACATCATAATAGTAATAATAATGATAAAAAATTTAAGAAAACAATGCAGAAAGGTACCTACAGGCCTTAAAGCCCTATTTAACCATGAATAGTTGATTACAAAAGCAGCAGAAACTGGATTTTTATTTAATTAATTAATTTTATTTTTAGACAGAGTCTTGCTATGTAGGTCTGGTTGTCCATTTACAAGTGTAGCCCAGGCTGGTCTCAAACTTGTAGCAATCCTGCCTCATCTCCCAAGTGTGGGCCACAGTGCCCAGCTTGTTTTGTTTTTTAAACCAGTGAAAAAGAAAACACAAAACAGGGGCTGGAGAGATGGCTCAGAGGTTAAGAGTACTGACTGCTCTTGCAGAGGACCCGGGTTTGATTCCCAGCACCCACATGGCAGCTATGAATCGTCCTTAACTCCAGTTCCAGGGGAATCTGAAGCCTTCTTCTGATTTCCGCGGCATTGCACAACACGGGTGCACTCATATACATGCAGGCAATACACTCATACACATAAAAATAAAAATAATAAAGTAAATATTTTAATAAAACACAAGACAATGAACCAGAGCTGTCCATACTGACAGTGATACATTCTGTACAAATAACACATTTTGCTTCTCCATTACCAAAAATCACCCCCAAAAAACCAAGGTGGTGGCTCAGCAGGTAAGGGCACCGGCCTCCAGACTTGATGCCCTGAGTTTGATCCCGAGGACCCATATGATGGAAGGAGACTCTTGCAAGTTGTCCTCTGACCTCCACACTCATGTCATGGCATGTGCACACATGCACACATGCACACACACAATAATAAGTAAAATAAAGTTTTTAAAAACACATTCAAAGTCGAAGGTAAATAAGAAACAGAAATCTCTCATGGAATAATCTGCTAGAACTTTTCTGCCTCTTAATCTGCTGCTGCTCTTTATCAAAGTTGTAGCAGGAAGTTCTGTAAATGATTGTTTGCATGGAACTATAGAAGCTCCTTAACATCCTGGCTCTCAAGGCTAGCCATGTAATTGAGTACTTGATTAGTAAACCCTAGGTTTAATCCCCAGACCTCTGGGAGAAAAACCTCACTTTCAAAGAAAACTTCCTCTGAAAAGCCCAAATCTCAGAGACTTACCTTCTCTGTTTTCAAGACAGTAGGCAGACGAACAATGAAGGTAAAGGATGTGAGTGAAAAGTCCTGAGGAGATGGTGTCCTTCACAGCTTATTATTGCCTGCATGGACATTAGTGTTGTATGCATAATGCTGCAAAGATAATTACGAGTACCTCAACTACCACATTAAAGGCTGCTTATGAGTTGGGGTGAGCTAGTTCACATAGCAACATGCATTGTAGCAGAACAGTCTTGTAACTATAGTTAGATTGTAGCATATACATAGTATTTCCATATCTTTTATGGTAAAGGCACTTGGACTGCCTGCATTTATATTCATCTTTCTAGATCTGCTGACTGTAATGGGAGAGGCAGTTTCTTGTCTGATCTTTGAAACTGTGTTTTATGAAGTTTTCAATAGATTCTTTTAGATCTTTTTCTTACTGTATATGAATTTTTTTTTTTTTTTTTTTTGGTCTTTTTGAGACAGGGCCTCCCTGTAGCCCCAGCTGACCTGGAACTCACTATGTAGACCAGGCTGGCCTTGAACTCACAGAGATCCACCTGCCTCCTGAGTGCTGGGATTAAAGGTGTGCACCATCACACCCAGCCTCTGTATATGAAAATTTAACAATTATATATCTTGCTCCAATTTAAAAACTTAAATGGAACCAGGAAGTTTTCAAAATACAGTTTTGGAGCTGCTATGGTATCTTAAATACTACTGAAGATTATAATATAGTAAAAATCCTTATTACTTTTAGATCATGAGAAATAACATCTGCTAGAGGAAGTTGAACATTAATAATAAACTATGTTCATCAAACAGTGACATTGATAGCACAGAAAAAGATATTCTTTGAATAAAAATAAGTGGGGGCAGGAGAGATGGCTCAGTGGTTAAGAACATTGACTGCTCTTGCAGAGGACCCGGGTTCAATTCCCAGCATCCACATAGCAGCTAACAACTGTCTGTAACTCCAGTTCCAGGGGATCTGATGCCTTCTTCTGTGAGCATTGCACAACACAGGTGCATGTATACACATGCAGGCATGTGTGCTGGGATTCAAACCTGGGTCTTCTGCAAGAACAACCAGTGCTCTTAACTGCTGAGCCATCTCTCCAGCCCCCGCAACATATTATTTATTAATGTTGTCAGGCATTCGTTAGGAACATTAATTAGAAATTGGGGATATTCACTTTATTTATTTATTTATTTATTTATTTATTTATTTATTTATTTATATTTTTATGTGCATGCATGTATTGCCTTCATGTAGGTAAGTAAGTGTAGCCGTGTCGTGTGATGCCCGCGGAGGTCAGAAGAGGCTGTTGGATCCCCTGGGACTGGAGTTACGGACAGTTGTTAGCTGCCATGTGGGTGCTGGGATTTGAACCTGGGTCTTCTGCAAGAACAACGGATGTTCTTAACTGCTGAGCCATCTCTCCAGCCCCAATATTCACTTTTTTAAGTGCTCTGGAATATTTTGGGATTTAAAACAATGAATTTCTAGTTCCAACAGTTCCTGCTATTGGAATGGATATTTTATGTTCCTGGTAGCAAGGATTTGTGAAATGTTAAGTTTGCTGATTCCTTGGACATACTACTTTAAGTTCTTACCATCTGATCCTAATTTGGATGCCATGCTTGGAATGTAACCAGCAGTTTTTGCCTTGGAATTTTTTAAGTGCTGACTTAGGGTCTTGCTCTTTGGATTTGCTGTTGCCTTTAATCTTAACTAACCAAGCACTGTGGTTTGCTTTTCTTTAAACAGGTGATGATGTAAAATGTAAAGATTATATTGTTGCACTGCAGCACCCTGTGACCACTGACATTAAGCATTCCATAAAAATGTTTGAGTTAACACTGGATGCACTTATTTCATTTAACAAGAGGACCCTAGTTCTGTTTCCAAATATTGATGCAGGTAATTGAACATGAAAATGAAATGATCCCCCCCACCTTTTCACACCTTGTATTTCTGTTACCTCTTTTTTTGACTGTCTTTTCGCCCACCTTATTACAGGCCACTTGATTCAGAAATGCATCCCAGTTTTTAAGGGTTACCTATTTTGCTGTGGATAAAAGTGTTGTGATGTTTTTGTCAAGTCTCATAGAAACTTAGTATGAAATAAAGGAAAACTTTTTACAAGTCTCCATTTTGCTCTCATGTTAGTCTTTTCCCTTCAGTTTCCACTAAGTAGCTACTGCAAGAGCCATGAGATGTAAACCTTAGAAGTCCAGGGGAAGGAGTGTCTCTAGGCAAGTAATGATGCCATTGAGCACAGTAAAATAAGCTTTATTGTTACTTCTTGTTTTCTTTCCTCTTTATAGTACACTTTAAAGTATACTCTTGAGCTTTGGATCTGGAATCCCCAGCCAGTCCCCCTCAGATCTACTCTGGTTGACACCTACTGCTTGACAGCTGTGAACTTTGGTGCTAAAAGACTGTAGGCAAGTTAATGGGGATCTGAGATATAAATGATAAATGCTAGACTAAGGGCTTTTCTGTTTAAAAAAATTTTTTTTTTTAATGTGTATGACAGTTTTGCCTCCATGACTGGTTGGGGTGACATTAGTACACTTGTATCACGCAAAGCCTTCAGAGGCCAGAAGAGGGTGTTGGATCCCCTGGAACTGGAGTTATGGATGGTTGTTAGTCACCATGTGGGTGCTAGGAACCGAACCTGGGTCCTCTGCAAGAGCAGCCAGTGCTTTTAACCGCTGAGCCATCTCTCCAGCCCTACTAAGGGGTTTTCAAATACTGGTTACTGTAGCGGACACTACTCACTGCAGCACTCTCAGGCTTCTTTTGGTAACAGAAGAAGGACCATTTCTTTGAAATGCTATGGTATTATCATTTTACTCTGAAAGAACCCCTCTCCTAATATACTTTGAATAATCTTTTCTGTTAGAGGAAACAAAAGTATTCAACTCAGAATCTGTTCAGGTAATATAGCAATATTTTTTAAAAAACTTAATTCTTTTCTAATCCTTTACATTCTGTGTAAATATTTGTAATATATTTATTTATGTCTGAGTGATATGTTCTGTTTGTAATAACTTTCCTGATTGTATATACTTTAGAATTAGAGATATTTTTCTTCTATTAAAAAACAGTTCCTGCTGTGTGTGATGGTGTACACCTAATAGTCACAGCTACTCAGAGGGCCGAGATGGATCACTTGAGACATTGTTTCAAAGGAAAAGATTTAAAGAATTATTTAAATCACGTCTCCCACTTGCCTCTGCTTTTTGTGGGGAACAACAGGAGATGAAGTATGAAGGCATCACTTTATCATTATCTGGTTCAGTGCCCCAGTGTGCCTGTAGTTCTTCCAAGGAGTTGAAATCTGAGTACTTTTACCTGCCTTGCCACATTAAAAAGAAAAGATACATGCATAATTTCTGTTGACTCCGTGCTTCAGTCCATTAGTAGCATGATGTCACTGTCCTGCCTTCTAACCAGTGAGATAAACAACTTTTCCTCTCATGGCTGGGAGAAAATGATAGAAAAGCAGAGGGCCTGGTGTGGTTGTTTATCTGTAATCCCAGCAGAGATAGAGGCAGGAGGATTAAAGTTCTAGGCCAGGGACTAGAGAGATTGCTCACTGGTTAAGAGCTTATACTGCTCTTGCAGAGGACTTAATTGGTTCCCAGCACCAATGTCAGATGGCTCACAACCACCTGTAATTCTAGCTCCAGGGGGATCCCACACCTCTGACCTCCACAGGCATCTTCATGCATGTGTGCATATCCCTACAATACACATAATTAAAAATAATAAAAATAGCCTTTTCCCTGGCTGGCAGTGTGTAGGCCACATGATGTCTAGCATTATTGGTAAAAGACAAACAGCAGGATAAGAGCCCTGGCAGCATTCCTCCAAAAGTCTGGGAAGCTAGAAGTCCCCGAATGTATGGACACAGTCTAGCTGGACAAAGAGCTTGCTCTCTGTAACGAGAACTGGTTCTACATACAAGCTGCTTCTAGAGGGCAGCACCTGTACGTCTGGGGAGGTACTGGGGTTGGCTTCATGACCAAGATCTATGGACATCAGGCCCATCCACTCTAGCAGAGGCTCCAAGATTGTGGCCTGCTGAGTCCTCCAAGCCCTGGAAGGGCTGAAAATGGTAGAAAAGGACCAAGATGGGGACTGTAAGCCAACACCTCAGGGGCAGAGATCTGGGCAGGTAACAGCTGCCAACAAGAAGCATTAGAACAGGGGCTAGAGAGATGGCTTAGCAGTTAAGAGCACTAGCTGCTCTTCCAGAGAACCTGGGTTCAGTTCTCAGCACCCACATGGCAGCTACAACTGTCTACAACTCCAGTTCCAGGGGATCTAACAACCTCTGCAGGCATTGTACAACACAGACACACTTACATACATGCAGGCAAAATGCTCATACACATAAAACAAAAATAAGTACACTAAAATATTCTTTTAAAGCATTAGAACAGAGGATACTGGATAAATTTCTTTATTCATAAAAAAAATAAAATCAAAATAGGGACTGGAGAGACGGCTCAGTGGTTAGAGCACTTGCTGTTCTTTTGAGGACCCAAGTTCAGTTCCCAGCACCTACATTAGGCAGTTTCTAATAGTCTACTTCAACTCCAGGGGACCCAATGCCCTCTTCTGGTCTCCATGGGCACAACACTCACATCACATGCATGCACACACACATACATAATTTAAAAAGTCTTAAAAAAACTAAAAATTTTTAAAATTCTAAAAAAAGAAGTTCTAGGCTCACCTGGTCTATATAGTGAGACCTTGTCTCAAACAGAAAACAAAAAGCAAAAACAGGAAAGGGGACTGGAGAGATGTCCGAGTGGTTAACAGTGCTTACTGCTCCTGCAGAGGACCTGGATTCAGTTTGCAGCACTCACATGGTAGCTCACAACTGCCTATAACTCCAGTTTCAGGGGATTTACCGCCCTCCGCTAGCCTCCTTGGGCTCCTACATGCATGTGGACACACACAAGCCAATACACATACATAAAAATCTTTAAAAGTCTTAAAACAAGGAAGAGGCAGGGAGATGGCTCGATGGGTAAGTGCTTGCCATGCAAGTATGAGGACTAGAGTTGAGTTCCTCAGAGCCCATGTGAATGGAGTGTGGGCATGGTGAGCTGCCTATAATTCAGCCTCAGAAGGCAGAGACAGGACTCCCCAGAGCAAGCTGGCTAGTAAGACTAGCTGTATTGGCAATATCTGGGTTTCATTGAGAGACCTGCCTCAGTGAGTAAAATGGAGGAGTAACTGAGGACTCTTGGCATCAGCCTTAAGCCTTCGCATGCATGTGCATTCACACACATAAACATGCATAAACACAGGTACTCCACATGGGCACAAACACATGAAAATGGGGAGGAAGGAAAGGCCATTAAATATTGCTTCTCATGCTTTAAATTGTTTTAAAAGTTATGAATTTAAAATAAAATATCAGCCATAGTATCAGACTCTTATCAGTATCCTTGGAGTTTGGTCCATAAAAGTGGGAGTTAGTGGAAATGTGAGCAGTTAGGAGAGGCTCTCTAATCTACTTCTCTATGAAACTTATCACCCATCTGTTTAGAACTGCTGGCTTGTCTTTAGCTTTAGCCTCTTAATTGTTTGAGGTGCACGTTTTAAAAAAAATTTTATTGTTATTTTTTAAAATATATATTTTTTATTTTATGGAGAGTATTGCCTGCATATATGTGAGTGTACCCGTGTCGTGCAGTGCAGCAGAGCTCAGAAGAGGGCATCAAATTCCCCTGGAACTGGAATTAAAGATGGTTTGTAGCCACCATGTGGGTGCTGGGAATCGAACCCGGGTCCTCAACAAGAGCAGTCAGTGTTCTTAACCGCTGAGCCAACTCTCCAGCCCTTGAGGTGCAAATTTTATTTGGGGTATTAATAAAGATATTTGCTTTGCTGAGTTATATGTGAAAATCTCAGCTGGGGCTGTGTGAGCTCCTAGGTGAGCTGCAGAGCTGGCTTCACATTTTATGTGCTGGTGAAAATTTCAGCACTATAAAAAAAGAGAAGATGAATGGTTCCAATGACTTTTCCTAATAACTAGTGTAAATTTTTAGGGAGTTTTTTGTTTGGTTTTGTTTTTAACATGGGACTGTACTTTCCAATAAAAGTGATTTCTTTGTTTCATCAACCATTCAATAATTGATTCTTTTCATTTTTGCAGGGAGCAAAGAGATGGTTCGAGTGATGAGGAAGAAGGGCATTGAGCATCACCCCAATTTTCGTGCTGTTAAGCATGTCCCATTTGACCAATTTATACAGCTGGTTGCCCACGCTGGCTGTATGATTGGGAACAGCAGCTGTGGGGTGCGAGAGGTCGGAGCTTTTGGAACACCTGTGATCAACCTGGGAACACGTCAGATTGGAAGAGAAACAGGTGTTTGCCTTTGCTTGTATCTCAGCTGACTAGGTTTTCGGTATTTGTGTGGGTTATTATAAAGTACGCATGTGTCAGTGCTAGCCATACATTTTTGTGAACAAGTGGGTGAATGAAGTGAATGATCAATAATAGCCTGATATTTATAAATAGCACACAGTGACTGCCACATTTTAATGGCTCTATTTGCACTTTTATTGCTTTGTAAAATAATTAGAGCTAAGTGGTCCCCCAGCCGAACCCAGGGCCTTGTGCTTGCTAGGCAAATGTTCTGCCACATTTGCCCCTCCCCAACATGGAACACTTCATGAATTTGTGATTCATCCTTGATCGAGAGCCATGTTAGTCTTTTGTGTATCATTCCAAATTTAATATATGTGCGAGCACATGGTTCTTAATTATTTAAGAACCTTGTTTATATATATAAAATATATTTATATTTATAAAAAGCCTTGTTTATGAGAAAAATGTAGTTGAATATGTCATAAGTACTAATCTTTCTTTTTCTGAGCCTGGTCCTTTCAGTCAGTCTGTAGAGTATGGCAGTTATAAGTAATGAAAGTATACACAGGATTATCAATGAATATGCTGAGCTGCATCTGTTGGTAATGTTAGTCAAGTTCTAATACTGTGTGCATGCAAATACTACCTGTAGCTAATGGAAAAATGTATGTCATTAATGGAAAAAGAATTGGACTAGAACTAAGAGATTAGCTCTAGCTCTGCTGTTTCTCCCATTCTCCTGAGTTGCCACCTCTTTCTATTCTCTTTAGATCATTCTCGGCACATTACTTTCTTTGCTTGCCATTTCATAGGGAAAATAGAAGTCATAAGATGGAAATTCTTTCAAATTTGTTAAGAAAATATTTAATAAGGAGCCAGGCATGGTGGTGCATGCCTTTAATCCCATCACCAGAGAGGCAGAGGCAGGTGGATCTATGTGAGATCAAGGCCAGCCTGGTCTACATAGTGAGTTCCAAACCAGCTGTGACTACAGGGAGACCCTGTCTCAAAAAGA